TCAGCGCAGAAGCTGGCTACTGCTGCCAAATTCTGCTCACCCCTGTGCTGAACTCCAGCCCAGTTACTGTGTTACAGCAGGGCATGGTGGTCTGTAGTATTTTTTTAGGCTGAAAATATCATCTTCAAGAAATCAGAAAGCCTAAGTTGTTACTAGTAATATATTTCATACTTTTAAAGATTTGTAGTTATCCACGACCGTGAAGGTTGTCAAACCCACTCAAATGCTTCTTATTGAAAAATGGGGCCTCCATATCCACAGATCCTCCCCTCCTTCTCCCACCCAAATTACACTCGTAATTCCCAAAGACAGCCACTCTTCTAAAACATGACACATTTCATATAGCTGTTATTAATAAAGTATGAACAATGTTTGCAGAAATATTAAAGAATCAGGTCAAGAACGCTGTCTGAATACAAGTGTTATTAAATAAGCCAACCACCCAACTTTTGGGTAATTAATGTCCTTGGTTTTCATTTGAAAGCCTCATTTTCAGCACGTCCATAGGAGACAAATGTCCCATGCCAAAATGAATTAACACAACTTAACTCTTTTGACACCAATTACAAGAGAAAGATGAACATGCAGTATTGTCAGGCTAGATACAGAATGTTGCAGCACAGCACTTCTCATTGTAGGGTAAATTTAGGTACAATCAGATGATTTCACTACAGAGTCGAGGAATTTGATCTGTTCCCATCTGTGCATAATCTGAATATCTAAACAATTGCCATAATGCATTTGAAAACTTAAAAATATAAAACTAACAAAGCTGATGGTATCTCCAGATCACCATGTGAAGTGCTAATAAGCAACTGTGTTATACAACCCGTGTTCAACAGACTGAAAATGATCTCTCCCAAATCCAAATGACATACTTCTAAAGCTGAAAGTGATAGATTACAGCTGGCTGAGCAAGCACTGTACTGTACACTCATTTTAAAAGCTGCCATTGTAAAAGACCCTCCAGGCTTTCTGTTGGTTCCTTTGCTCTTATTAAGAACTGCAAAGCTCCTGTTATTTAACAATAATTACAGGGGGAGATGGAGAAAAACTAAGAAGAAATAGAGTTTTATTTTTCTAAAGATATACAGTGACTATTTTTAACAGGATGTCTACAGACCAAATATGTTATTTTGATTTCATCATATCTAAACATGATAAATATTTGCAGCTGGAAAAAATATGAGTGCAAAATCTGAAAAATTAGGATTCTTATTAGAAAATACATCTTTACAACTAATTTATAGTCTCTGTGTACAACATCCTATCCTTCTCTCCACCAGAGAGTCATTAAGACACAAAAATACTCTCAGGACAGCAGCTGCAGAACTTGTCGTACACGCTCGCACTTCTCCGGCAGGTTGGGGTCTTCTGCATCAGAACCATCAAACTGCTTCATAAAATCTTCAGCTTTCTGCACAGTTATGTCTCGTGCACTGCCTTGAAGGCCTTGGAGATAGTCCAGTAAAATGGTGAAATACTTGTCTGGAACCTTTAAAGAAAAAACCAAGGGAGACAAAAATAATTGCTTTATTTTCTTCTTGCTCAATGCTCGTTCACAGTCACGTCAAAGCATCACCTGAACAATCATCAGGAGAACTGCACGGGCATTTGTGTTTGCCAGTGCCCACCTCTGAGTGGGAGAGCTCCTTGCCAAGGTTCAAGCTGCCAGGAGGGATGGACTGTGGTGAGAGGACCATCATGTGCTCAGATGGGCAACGCATCCGAGAGGAAATTCTGAGCAGATGTGGACATGCCGTTCCGCACATGCAAACGCTCCCTGACGGCGAGCTCAAGGCTGGGAGGGTTTCTTGGAATTAAAAAACCCACTAGCCAATTCCTGCTTCTGGAACCATGTATGCAAACCTTAATAAACTCAGTGAGAATTGCATGCACATGTCTGAGGAAAGAATTTTGCCGGAATTACCCTCGCCCCTACCCAAAATTATCTGTTTGCTAAGATGGGATACCACCCACCATCAAGCACTTTGACAGAACACTTATACAAAGAAATGGAATTTAATTTGGAAAACAAACTGAATTCAGACATATGGAAATAATTTTTAAATCACGCTGACTAAAACTGATAGGCTCTACTAACATGCCTAACATTAAAGGCAGCTTAGTCATCTGCAGTTGCATTAACCCCATTTCACTCCCTTTCTAATTAACTAGTCGTAGGTTAAGTTTTAGCTTATCTGGTACACCATGTATTTTAAATGAGCATTCTATTTAATCACTTGGCAATAACCTGGCAAAGAAGGTTGAATTATTTATTCAGTATTTCAAACCAATGTGTTTTCAAAAGCATTAGATGAACAGATCTGTGCTGAGGTATACCTTAACTTGATGTTGTCTGTTCGTGGAAGGTTAGAGTCAATAAGAGAATATTTTTGCTGTAAATCAGGAGATGTTAAAATGACCTAATCTCGCAAATATTTTTCTCCATGTTTAACTTGACACATATAAATTTAAAAGGCATACTTGACATAAGTTAAACACATGCGTAAGTATTTAAAGGTTTGGAGACTAATTATTCTAGAGCTGTTTCAATTCTGCAAAGTATCAACATTTCAGAGGAGACAGAACTTCAACAGATACTTGATTTACAACTTATTTCTCCATCGACATTTGGCAGCATAACTTTGATGGCTAAAACTTCTATCACCCCAAAAGAAGAGGAGGAAAGAATATTCCAACACTGCCTTCACCAATCAGAGATACTACAAAGTAATACATCAAAACTAAAGTCTGCATTCAGCCTCATAACTTATATGCCATGGAAAACCTTCTAATTCTTCACACAAACACTCCTGCATTGAAGAAATAATACAGATTTTAAAATTACATCAATTTTACAGTGACTAATACTAAAATGGATGCTATATGAAATGTTGCTATAATATACATATCAAGCACATTTTAAACAGAATGAAAAATGTGTGTACTTTTTAAACCTTTTTACTCATGGTAAACTGGTACTAATAACAGACAAAAACATTCAGACAGAAACAATTTCAGCATGATAGTGCTCCTTTAATGTTGGCACTCAGTACTGGGTTTTTAAAGCTCAGCAACATTTCTATCTTTCAAACCCTAGCCAAATTATCTCTGTAATTTACACCTCTTGCTCTCAGACCTCACGGTACAGTCCTACCCCACTCTGTGGAATTACAGTTATTAGTACATCGTTTAAGCAAAGTGCTTGAAGGGGCAATTAAAAGCCTACACTAAACTAAGAAATATTAAGTGTGCAGACAGACATGTGGCTGCCTGAAGCCTAGAAAACAGACTAGCTAAGGCTAAGTGCTCAAGAAGCCTGAGTTTTTTTCTTTCACACAGCTATTAAGTCTATTTCAGCCAGAGCTTACAACGCAGTACCACGTAGGCAAGATAACACCAGATCTCCTCCTAACTTAGACATATAACAGGGCCACAGGAAGGACTGGAACATAGAGAGTGCCAGCAAAAAGTTAAGGAAATCCAAATTTTAATTCTTCAAATACAGAAGTGTAGGAGCTGAAATTTCAGAACTCTTGGCAAGGCATTACAAGAAGGAACACAATCCTTCTTCTAAGGTCAGCTTTTGGGCTGGCCTGAAATTGGATATTCAAGATCTCCCACCATGGCTCTGGCAAGCGGAAGTGAGGCTTAAGGGATTTTATTATTATTATTTTGTTAAATTGTTTTGACCTTTTTCTTGTTTCCTTTTCCCTCACACACTAACCTTGCCTCTGTTCTAACAAGCTAATATGCACTGGAATGGACTTACAGAGAAATATCCTGAAGTGAAATGATTACCATCGTTGGGAAAAGAGGGGAAAAAGAGTAGCAGGAGAAGAACAGTTATCACTTTTAAATGATACTCTGCGACTCTGCAGACTCCTTAGACTTGCAGATACCCACATGTTTTGCAAAGCAAATACAGGCATCTGCACAGAGAACTTCAGCTTACTGCCACCAAACCTGCTTTTCTCAGTTACCTTCTGAGGAAGCTTCAGATCCCCCTCCAGGGCCTTGTGGTCCAGGAGATGATATAGTTACTTTCTAAAAATGCTGTGCCAGATGAGAAAGATCAACAAATGATCTAGTGTTTACTTTATACTGGACCCTGAAGCAGTATATACACTGTAGGTATACAAGCTTGGCTCGGCAGCTGTCAGCCAACCACCAGATGGATTTTAAAGTGACTTAAAAACACCCTCATGCTGCAAAGGACTTTAAAACCTCAACTTATTCCTCACAGAAAGAGGCCTATCAGTACAGGAGACCCAATTCACTCCTTTGCATGGCTTTTCAGTAGGCATCCAAGTGACACCATGAGATCAAAGACGTGGCTGCAGAAGGAAAGGAACTCATGTCTCCTACTGTATTTTATTCACGTTTGGATATCCAACAGATTTTACTCTGTCATGGACAGGAAGTTGAATTTGGGTATTAAAAATATTCAAAAGAAGCTGGTTTGCCCTCCCTACAGTCCCGATGAAGACAGAGACTTCATTATACGCTTAATTACAAGCACTTGAGCAGTTCTACTAACTTTCTTCAATCTGGATGCAGATGTTAATCATTATCTAAAGCTCCTATTCAATGCATCTCTGATGATTAAGCTAGAAAACATGTGAATTTAAATAAATCATAACACTTCCATCAGATTAAAAAAAAATAAATAGAAAGGAAGGTTCATTTCAGCGTTGAGAAATATGGAGTTAGGTTCTGTTTTTATACATAAAGCAAACACTACTTAGTTAACTATTTCCCAGTATATTTCAACACAAAGTAAATAGGTGAAAAAGTAAAAATTTCATTTTGCCTGTAAAACAATTTCTAGATAGCTTTAAATAACCTATGTTGATTTAGAAAGGTTGATAAAGACTTTTAAAGGAGAAACTTAAAAATAGAAGAAGTGCAAACAACCTAGATACCAACCATCAAATTTGTATTCTGCAACTGATCTTTAAAAAGATGTGAACATTTTTGCCTTCATGAAACTCTGCTTTTAATTACCCAATTCTCTGAAAGCATTTTTAATCATAAAGGTATCACCCTATGTCAGGTGACCAGCTTAAGAGCTGCTGAGTAATTTGGGTCAGGAGATTGATATGCTTAAATGTTTAACTGCACATGAAAAAAAAAATCAGCAAAAACTAACTGAATGTCAACAAAATGAATCAATAAGTAAGGCACAGTGCAAACAGCTCGATGTTTGCTCTATTACACAACAAAATGAAGGACCTGAAACCCCCATTCGATACCACGATGGTCAGGTGCTCACTGGAAACTGAATCTCTGTTGTTTTGTAAGTTATGAAATGAATGGATCTCAGCAAGGATGCAAGCCTAGCTTCTGGTTATACTTTATGCTTTTTACAATCAACATCAGGTTTCATTTATATTTTAATGAGAAAGCTATTTGAAGATCCTGGCAGTATGGCTGTACATCTTATATGGTGCCATAGATATCTGAAGCAAAATGAGAATCGTGGTTTACAGTATTGGGTTCCACACTCAGAAATTCAAATTAAGGATGTGACTCAAGTACTCAGCAAGCCCCAGATTTATATAAAACATGAAACTGCTTGACATATATCAAGTATAAAAATCTAGCATACACAGAAGAATGATCATCAACAAAATAAAAAGATTAATTACATGCAAGTAAAATGATTCTGCATTTTGGTTAAAAACAAAGTAATTGATCTCTAAATTATTAGAAAAGTGAATGGCTAGTACTAGCAACTTTTGGTGAATAAAGAATAGCTACAACTAACGTATAAAACCTTATATCCTATTTGTTCTGAGAAAGAGCAACATTAATACAAACCTTTTCTTTATCATACATGTGCAAGAGAAGCCATGTTTGCCTTGTCTTTTGAAACTTCCATTCTTCTGGGTTTTCAGACCATCTAGAGTAAAGGAAAAAAAAAACTGCTTAAATGAAATACTGTGTGACCAAAACATTCATTATTCAGAAAATATTGCCTACAACGACTCCAAGTGACCTTTTATCCACAACACAGGGTTTCATGACAGTGTGTGAAACAGACACTGGCACACATTCTGTATGAGTGGCAATAAATAACACAAGAGATGGCTACCTGGCTTCCCTGAAAAAAGAGAAGATTATAGGAGGACACTATGGCCAAGAATGCTATAACTTTTCTTTAGAAAGAACTGATCTGTTGAAGTTAAAAATCAGGTTTCACTCCTCGGCTTTAACCAGTCCTTTTTGAGAGGTCATTGCCCTCATTTGACCCATGACAACTGAGCACCTCAAATCCTTAGTCCAGGTGCAAGGATATCTGAGCATCTGGGGAGCTGGAGTGGGTGAGGAATCACGTTTGGGTTTCAGAAAGTTGGTATCTCACAATAAACTGAAATTCATATGAAATTAAGCAGCCTCTAGAGGACTGGATGGAGAGAGTAGTGCTCCTCGGTCACCTCAACAACGGCTGAAGCCCATCACAGATGACTGTTCTAGACCAGAGAAAACTCATTTTTCAGGAGCATATGTTTCAAAGTTAGGATTTGTCTAAAGGCGTGACTTAAACATTGATGGTTACAGGATAGAAAACTGTTTTTTATGTCTCACTCTTGCCCAGTCATTCTGATTTCAATATTTAGCTCAAAACTCCAGGCTGCTTCAATACTGTTAAAAGTGAGTGGGTAAAGCAATGATTAACATTTGCAAACGTTCACTGACTGTTTAGCAAACAAATTTTAAATATGCAAAATTTTAGCTGGGTTAAAACAACACGTTTGTGTACATCTTGAATGTGATTTTAAAGCTGGTATATTCTGTTTTAGACTAAAAGAGATATTTATTTCTATAAACAAAAGAGCAAACTAGCAAATTCCGCTATAAAATGAAGATTGCTTTTTACAAGTATGTGCTTGAAAATGAGCATCTTAACACGTACACTGAAATATCACTTGAAGATCCAGAAGAAAATATATAAAAAGAAAAAACCAGAAAACGTTCTCTTTGATTTTTCTCTAAAGAAAAACAAGTCTCCAGAGGGTAACATGCAAGATGTCTTTAATGTTCCAGCTTGTTTTACACAGCAAGAGAAAGCACAGAAATCAATTGGAAAGCCAGCTGGATATGAGAATTAGTATTGTTTAAACACTGTCAAGTCTAATAAAGCAAAAGAGCCCTCATATTCGGTCAATGCTGCACCAGCAAATACATTGTTTAGTCAATTCAATGAAAGAGAGAAAACCAAGACCACAAATTGGTACAGAAAGATTTCATGGAAGTCTCTGCAGAAAACCCAGAAGAAAAAAATTATTGTCTTGTCTTTCAAATTCAGAATGAAAAGCACCAACAACTCATTAGGATTATCACTAGCTAAACTCAATAAAAACGTCTGTAATCAACATATAAGGTAAAAACCAGACAAATAACAATAAACCAGGAAGAAGAGACAAAACTAATAACCACAATATATTGTATTTTACATGCTCAAATTAAATCCACAAATGAATTGATTTAGAGGTCTCTTCTGGGATGCTGTCAGTAAATGGGCAAAAGATTGCAGTACAAATATTGCACAAAAACAGAAGCCCCAAAGCTGACTGCCAAAAGTCACAGAAAAATACTATTATGGGGAAACCATCCTTCTCCCATCACCACCAACCCAGAACCCAAAGTACTTGCAAAATAAAGATCACTCAACCTTTGGTTGCACCAACAAGGCGCCCAACTGGGCAACACCTGACTGTCAAAATGACAACACCTGCAGTGACAGAAGCTGGGAGTGAAGTAAAAAGGGCTTTTCTTGTGGGTGCAGTTTGGGGGGACAAGCTCCTTTGTGCCCAGATTCTCTGCTTGCCAGGCAAACACAATAGCTCCTAACTGAGAAATCAGGACGATGGTGATGGTGCTTGATGTTAAAAGAAAGATGGAAGATGTTCTAAGAAATGCTGCCTACCCACACAGCACAAAGAAGGTGCTAAGATTAGAATTCTTCTTCAGGTTAAGTAAGCCTGGAAAAAAGTTTACATTGGAATCTTTGCAAGGTGACATGACCAAGCTGAATGACACATCTGTGACCAAATCCTGTGCAAACAGTTCTCTCCTAAGGACAACCTTTAACACATGTTTTTATTTCTTTAAACTATACTATGTGTTTCTATATTTGTGATTATATTCATCAGTACCACACAGTACTCTGAATATTTTATTCTCTGCCTATTTTTTTTCTGCCACTTAATGCTATTACCTGACTACTGTTAGGCATTAACAAATACAGCCTGGTTTCACTAAACTCCTATAAAGCTATAGGATGTTAAAATATCTTTATTACCTAGTTTATAAACAACAGAGGCCAACAAATGAGTGCACTATAAGGTTAATTGCTCTTATTAGCCTATTACCAAAACCATATGCTCTCTTCCACACATTAAGGCAAGCCCCTATACTCCTCCATCTAAGGTCTCACATTGACTTTCACTCTGGTGAATCGTCCTGTAGAAACAAAGAAGTTTCAGCTAGTTTTCCTCAACAGTTTTCCTCTATATACACCATAATAATTCATATAAACACCAAATACTTCAACATAGTCAACAGCAGAAGGTACGTTTGTGTGCTTTACAGCACTAGAGCCTCACAAATGATTTCTTTTTGTTTGTGCTCTGTCCTGTTAGAATCAAATGTTTAATGAGTGCAGTAAAAAAAAAAAAAAAAGTATTTTCCTTAATAAACTATGGGTGTACTCTCCAGAAAATGCTACCAAGTTTTTAACTGGTACTCTATCCATGGTTGCACCAATTCCTGGTTTCCACCTTCAGGAAAATGATCCTTCTCTTGACCCTAATTCCTGTCAAACCGGGCAAAACACTCAAGAAAATGGATGCAGTCTTTAAGATGGATAACGTGGCAGTGGCCATCTGTATTTGGACCCCCAGCAGTTATAAAAATAAAAGTTTTCCCCTGATTCCTATGACAGCTTTTTTCCTACTCCTCTGACAGCTTTAAAACCTATGGAAAGCAGGACTCCGTGACAAAGTGAGAGGGCTGTCTCCTTTTATCAGAATGACATAATTAGTACATTTTTAGAAATGCTCAACTTTTAAACTCAGAAGTTAAAGCTCTGTAACACAAGAGAGGTCTCATTTTGCTGTTTATGTGCAGATAAGCTTCCTTGACATATTACAGCAGTAGAAAAGGCTTTTCCTTTGAGCGATTAAATAAAGACCACCTACATTATAGTTTAAAAAACCCTTTTTATAGACAATCACATCCAAATAACCATTAATTTGATAGCCTTAGAAGTATCCATGTCCAGATCTAATATAAACTATGGACTTGGATGATAAATACACGTGTGCAAAATGTGTATTTTTCCAGTACACCTCGGGCTAAATTCCAATATGTTCTAGAAAAACTAATTGCCTTCTTTACACAGTTAATGTTTGAATCTCTCTTACAAGCCCTAACTCATTGAAAAAACACATTGCTTGACTTTAGTTAAAGAGAACTTTTATGTTTGTGCAAATGATCCTCCTAAATGGCTCAGAAATGGAAGCTACAGAGGAAATCAAATTACTTCAGCAGCTTAGGGAATTTTATATTCAGACTTTTGTTTTTTAGCATGATAGCTTCATGTGAGAAAAGCTGCCCAAGGTTCTCACTGGTCTATCTCATAAATGACTTTAAGTATCCACATTAATCTCACACAAATCCGTTTCCAGCGTAAGCAGGCAGAGAGCAGACAACTTGCAGCATGGAGGGCAGAAAAGCACTGTGGTGAGAACCAACTGTTTCACTGAGCCAACTTGAAATGATTATTGGGTAGGAGACAAGCCTCAAGAAACAGGACAGCCAGACATGTGACTGCTGATATCCTTCCAGAAGACACAAGAGTACAGCTGCATGTCAAACGCAAGGAGACCTAGACTCACCTACATCTACCGCTCCAATTTGGTGCCACTGATGGCCCAGCCCACCTTGGATACACGTTCCAGCCTAGACATCTATCCAAGGTAAAGCAGACTGACACCAAACTTAGGCTTCTCCAGCATACAGCTCAGGCTTAGCATCAGGGAATTCATTTGTAAGGTTTCTCCAGCCCTGAGGACCAGGTCAGAGCACAGCTCTCTTGTGATTTACCCATGAGGACTCTTGTATCTTATTCTCTTCAGCTTCACTGAATCTCAGAGGAGGGAGGTCAGAGCGCAGCCTCCTCTTGCTCTCCTGTGATTTACCCATGAGGACTCTTGTATCTTATTCTCTTCAGCTTCACTGAATCTCAGAGGAGGGACAGAGCAACAGATCTGATCCATTACACCACAGTTAAGGCTACCTCAAAAAGATCTACTAAAAACCTTAAAAGCAGTATACTACAGCACTATACAAAAAAAATGGTCACATTCTTCTCACTGCATTTATCTGGGGACTTCTCTGTTTTGATACACTCAGTTATTCATCATCTCGAAACCTGCCTGTAAGGATCATTATGTTCCACGTGCTCCAGAAGGAAGGCTGAACAGAAGTCACAGCACATGATTAAGGCTTGCAGGAATGAAGTTCAGCATGTTTTTCCCCAGGCAAAGATACTTGGAGCCTTGCTGAAACACGTGGCACTGGAGTGCTTTGCTGTCATATGTCACAATGCAACACACACGATAACAGCGACTTTATAATCCCTCCACTTATGTTTTAAGGCAAGATCACTGCCCTGAGAAGGCCCAAATTTGGAAACTCTGAATCATAGAATCCTTTAGGTTGGAAGGGACCTTCAAGATCATCAAGTCCAACCATTAAGCCATTAGGGCTCTAAAGTCCTCTGCTACAACAGATCAGAATCTGTCAGGGTTGGAAGGGACCACAAGGATCTCCAGACTGAACAGCCCCAGCTCTCTCAGTCTGTCCTCACAGCAGAGCTCCTCCAGCCCTGGGATC